TTCTGATTTTCCCTCTATATGCTGTTGCTTTTGAATGTCCTAGGCTATTTATTTATTTAGAGACACAGTCTCTCTTTATCACCCAGGCTGGAGTGCTTTGGCACAATCTCAGCTCACTGCAACCTCCACTTCCTGGGTTCAAGCGATTCTCCTGCATCAGCCTCCTGTATAGCTAGTATTACAGGTGCACACCACCATGCCTGGGTAATTTTTGTATTTTTAGTAGAGACGGTATTTCACCATGTTGACCAGGCTAGTCTTAAACTCCTGGCCTCAAGTGATCTGCCCACCTTGGCCTCCCAAAGTGCTGGGATTACAGGTGTGAGCCACCACACCTGGCCATGAACATCATAGTCTTAATGTCTGGCTCCCAAAGTGGAAAAGGAAAGAAATTAAGGAGAGGAAATGGGCACTGGCCTTTTAAATCCTTGCAATATCACTTCAGCCAGAGGAGGGGTTTAAAACAATGGAGGGCAGGTACAGAAATAGCCACCTGCCTCTCTGATACTTAGGACAGGATCCTTTTTACCCACTTTGGCTCCAACAAACTGTGGGGAGGGCTGCTTACTATAAGATTAGGGGATAGGTGGGTGCCACTGTGCTAAGAGCTGAGATTGACCAAAATTTACAATAATTTATTATCTAAGCCTCTTCTCCTAAAAGTTGTGAGCCATCAATAGACTCCAGAGTTTCTAAATAATCACATCAGACGGATTCTGCCACTGCATTGGTTGTCTAGGTGGGGAAACAGATTTCTGGTGGCTTCCTACTCCACCACCTTCTTAGAATCTTTTCTAGTTTGTGATTCTTACTTGAGTCAGGATCCATATGAGATTTTGGCAGTTTATTACCTGGCATCAAGATGTTCTGGGCTCACCTTGTGAGTTTCCTGTCTTAAATCTAGAATCAGTTTTCCTCTAAGAAGTCCTAATTCCTTTTGCTGGGAAATGACATCCAGAATCTAAGCACTTAGCGGTATACTTTGCTACTGGGTGTATCTTTACTTTCATATTTGTTGATTCATTGCAAAAAGCCATATTTTCACCTCCTTCCTCTCTTCCCTTTTTGGGAGCCACTAGAGTTGCCCCCACAGCTTATTGTTTTGTGGATGTGTTTGGATTATTTTTCCAAACTGTTTTTGTTTTGGACTAATTCTGTTGCTGTGCCATCAAGTTCACTAGTCTTTTTATTCTGTAATATCTAATCTGCCATTTGTTCCATCCAGTGTGTTTTTATCTCACATTGCACTTTTTGTCTCTAAGTTCATTTTCAGTCCTTTAACAAATACCTTTCATGTCTCCACTTAATTTTTTGATCATGTAGAATACAGCTATATTAACCATTTAATGTCCTTGTCTAATTCTAACATCTGTGATGGTTCTGAGTCAGTTTCATATGATTGATTATTTTAATTTCAAATATTTTTTATTGCCTGGTAATCACATTGTAAACTTTACCTTGTTGGCTGCTGGATGTTTTATATTTTCTATAAATCTTCTTGAGCCTTGTTCTGGGATGCTGTTTTGTTACTTGGAAAGTGTTTTGTCCTTTTATATGGATCCAAAGCATTGCTCAGTCCAGGGCTGATCATTCCCTCTGCTGAGGCAAGACTTTCCCAAATATATCCGACCCAATACCCTGTGACTGAATTTTTCTAGTCTCTTTGCTTGGAGCAGGCACTTTTGCCAAGCCCTGTGCAAAAGCTGGGCATTGTTTTCTCTAATCCTTTAAGGTTTTTTTTCTTCTCTGCCTCTGCCCGTTTCCTCATACTCATACACATGTGCTTTGCCATATCCTTGAGGGGGGTCCCTCTGCAAATCTCTAAATTTCAGTCTTTCTGCAGCTCTCTCCTCTCTAGTACCTTGTTCACTGGATTATAGCTGCCTTGGTCTCCCCAAGACGCTTACCTCCCATTGATTCATCTTGTGGAGTCTACCTAGGAAGTCTCAAGGCAATAAGATGGGGCATTCCCAGGGTTCAGCTCTTGTTTCCTTTTTTCAGGGATCACTGTACATGTTGCCTGATGTCCAGAATCTTCTGTTGTTTTTGAATTTGGTCTGTTTGGGTATTGTTTTCTCAATAAGATAAATTCAGTCCCTGTCACTTCATTTTGGCTAAAGCAGAAAATTTGATAGGTGCTGAAGTTTTTTGTTTATTGTGTTGTGTTTTGTTTTTGAGATGGGGTCTCTGTCACTGAAGCTGGAGTGCAGTGGCATGATCTTGGCTCACTGCAGCCTTGACCTTCCGGGTTTAGGTGTTCCCCTCACCTTAGCCTCCTGAGTAGCAAGGACCACAGGCACACGCCACCATACTTGACTAATTTTTGGATTTTTTTGTAGAGATGGGGTTTCCCTGTGTTGCCCAGGCCGGTCTCAAACTCGTAGGCTCAAGGGATCCACCTGTCTTGGCCTCCCAAATTGCTAGGATTACAGGCTTGAGCCACCATGCCCAGCCTTTCATGGGTTTTATCTATAAGAATTTGATGCTGGACGTGGTGGCTCACGCCTGTAATACAAAAATACAAAAAATTAGATCATGAGGTCAGGAGTTCAAGATCAACCTGGCCAAGATGGTGAAACACTGTCTCTACTAAAAATACAAAAATTAGCTGGGCCTGGTGGCAGGCACCTGTAATCCCAGCTACTTGGGAGGCTGAGGTAGAGAATTGGTTGAACTGGGAGGCGAAGATTGCAGTGATCCGAGTTGCGCCACTGCACTGCAGCCTGGGGAACAGAGCGAGACTCCATCTCAAAAAAAAAAAAAAAAATTTGCCAAGCAGTTTTCCAAAGTATTTGTACCATTTTAGACTTCTGCTAGCATAATACGAGAGTTCTAGTTGTTCCACAACCTCACTTACATTTGGTGATGTTTATTTTTTCTTTATTTTATTTTATTAATTTGTCAGTTTGAGATGGTATCATATTGTACTTTTGATCTGTGTTTGAGGTTTTCAAAGTACCTTTAATCTTACGTAATTTGGAACATTTATGACATTGACTTTTTTTTTTTTTGGAATCCAAGCTAGTTGTTTTTTTTTTTTTTTGAGACGGAGTTTCGCTCTTGTTACCCAGGCTGCAGTGCAATGGCACGATCTCGGCTCACCGCAACCTCCGTCTCCTGGGTTCAGGCAATTCTCCTGCCTCAGCCTCCTAAGTAGCTGGGATTACAGGCACGCGCCACCATGCCCAGCTAATTTTTTGTATTTTTAGTAGAGACAGGGTTTCACCATGTTGACCAGGATGGTCTCGATCTCTTGACCTCGTGATCCACCCGCCTCGGCCTCCCAAAGTGCTGGGATTACAGGCTTGAGCCACCGCGCCCGGCAGAGCTAGTTGTTTTATGCCATCTTAGTTTGGATTTGTTTGACTGTTCCCTCATGATTAAATTCAAGTTAACCGTGTTTGTCAAGCATACTACATGGATTATACATTAGAAGGCACATGATATGAATTTGTGCTTATCATTGGTGGTAATAAGTTTGATCACTTGGTTAAGGCAGTGCCTTCCAGATATCTCAGTTGTAAAGGTATTTTATTCTTTTTGTAATTAATAAGCAGCCTGTGGAATGATATTTTGGCACTGTGAAAATCCCTTTTCCCAACAGTCTTTCACATAGTCGTTTTAGTATTCACTGATTCCTACCTGAATCAGTAACAGTATACTATAGTGATTGTAAATTGGTGATTTTTTTATTCTGTAATACCTTATATATTTATTATTTGGCTTTCTTCTCTAAAGAAGATGTTTCTCAGCCGGGCGTGGTGGCTCATGCTTGTAATCCCAGGACTTTGGGAGACTGAGGCATGTGGATCACCTGAGGTCGGGAGTTCGAGACCAGTCTGACCAACATGGTGAAACCCCTTCTCTACTAAAAATATAAAAAATTAACTGGGCATGGTGGCATGCACCTGTAATCTCAGCTACTCAGGAGGCTGAGGCAGGAGAATCGCTTGAACCCGGGAGGCAGAGGTTTCGGTGAGCTGACATCACACCACTGCACTCCAACCTGGGTGACAGAGCAAGACTCCGCCCCAAAAAAATGTTTCTCTTCCTCCACACTTTCGGATCAGTATGGACTTGTTCTGTTTTTAACTGATATATTAACTCATAACTTTATTCTTTAAAATGGCCTCCACATTGGCTGGTGACATCCTCTTCAAGATGGTTCCTCTTTCTTCTTGACGTGTTCTCTTATTTGTTGGCACAGCAGAGTATTCCAAGTTTACCTTGTATTTTTCCTGCTTAGATTTAGCCATTTTTCCGAGGAACTCAGGCTTTCCTTTAATGGAGAATCTTCAAGTCTGAGCACTAGGACATTACATATATGTATGTCTTGACTTGCATGTAGAAGCTTGTGGGGGTGGAAGACATCAAAATCCCTGTAATGCCCTGCACAATATTAGACCCAAAGAGTATTCCTACTGTGTGGGGCGATCAGGTTGTTGGTACATAAGGATAACACATGGTGGCACTGGAATCAAGTTTAGTTTTCTAAACTACAGAGCATAAAGCAAGTTAGTTTCCTATTTTAAAAAATGTTCGCATTTGTGTTTTTGAGGTTAGGTCTTGTATCATCTCTTCTATAGTTAAGGAAGAATTTGTTTTTCCTTGCTTTGAAACTGTGAGAGTGGAAATTTTTACCCTGGACACTAATTTTGTTATTGGGGAAGAAACTAATTTATATGAATAGAATCAACAGCATCAGCCTAGTGCTTTCTTTCACTATTTGCATATGTAAGTTTTACTTTTTCTTTTACCATTATTTTAATGTACATAATAATATTGATAAGCCAGCCCCAACTTTCTGTTTCATGATTGCTTTCGTTGGCTGTTGCATTAGACTTTGAAATTTTAGAGGATTGACAGCTATATATTTATTCATTCAACCTCTATAACTTTTTATACTGAAAGAAAATACATAACATTTTAATAGGGTGTAATTCACAGATTGTCTTGCCCTGTTCTTTTGTGCTTTTTTTCCCTCCTTAATTAACTCCTAGATATCTGCATGGTATTTGAAGTTTTGGGGCATCATCTGCTCAAGTGGATCATCAAGTCCAATTATCAGGGGCTTCCACTGCCTTGTGTCAAAAAAATTATTCAGCAAGTATGTATCTTAGTCTTGACTATGCAGTGATGGTGTAATATTCTTAAAGTGTCAGGAGTTTATTTTTTCCAGTTGAATTTTTGTTTTAAAAAGTGAGTTACTGGCCGGGCACTGTGGCTCATGCCTGTAATCCCAGCACTTTGGGAGGCCAAGGCGGGCAGATCACCTGAGGTCGGGAGTTCGAGACCAGCCTGACCAACATGGCAAAACCCCGTCTCTACTAAAAATACAAAAATTAGCTGGGTGTAGTGGCATACGCCTGTAATCCCAGCTACTCACTTGGGAGGCTGAGGCAGGAGAATCTTGAACCCAGGAGGTGGAGGTTGCAGTGAGCTGAGATTGCGCCACTACACTCCAGCCTGGGTGACAAAGCAAGACTCAGTCTCAGAAAAAAAAGTAAGTTATTTTTAATTCCTAAAATTAAATATTGCATTCAATCTTTAAAGTTTATTTTGCTTATTCTGTTTTTAAATGTTTTAGCATAACCATTTTCCCCCAGGTTTGCCTCCTATATTAATTAGAAGGTGAAGCTGAGTTGTCTGACTTGGGAACATTGGGAGCCCTTATCCAGAAGTTGTAAATAGTAATTTTACATGAATAGATAATTGCTATGTCAGATTATTGCCATCTCTTTATACAGCATGATTCATGGGCATTTTCTAATTTTCTAATTTTCTAAAGAGCCTTCAATATACGGTATAGAATTTTACCATCAGGAAAATATTAATACTTCAAGGGGCAGAAATTTGTTTGGATAATGTGTTGTGGAAGGAGCTCCAAACTGGGCAGCAGCAGACCTCAGTTCTTCATCAATGAGGAAATTTGAATTAAAGATATCTAAATCTCTGCCATCACCTACATTTCAACACTTAGAGGGTGTGTTGAATGTTCTTCATAATGTATATAGTTGAAGAATATCTCCAAACAGAATTAGCTTTGTAAAACATTGAGGAATTTTTTATTGTAAATAAATACTTGCCTTTTTCATAGTTTAATCTTGCTGGGAAAGTTTGTGCTTTTTTTAAAAGGTACTTTTATTCTCCAGAGAAAACGCTATCATGTCTTCTTTTTTTTTTTTTTTTTAATGTCGTGTAATAATCTTGTACTTCTCCAGAAAACCTGTTTTTTGTGTTTGCAAGTCTGCCACTCTATTTTTATTCAGGTGTTACAGGGTCTTGATTATTTACACACCAAGTGCCGTATCATCCATACTGACATTAAACCAGAGAACATCTTATTGTCAGTGAATGAGCAGTACATTCGGAGGCTGGCTGCAGAAGCAACAGAATGGCAGCGATCTGGAGCTCCTCCGCCTTCTGGATCTGCAGGTATATTTTCTTTTAGGGACTTTGCTCTCATTAGAAATTAAAAGAAATTTCTATTTTTATTCTGTTACCAGGGAATTAAACACCACCCAATCATATTTAAAAAACATTATGAGCCTCCGAAAGACTTTCTCAGAATTACTTTCATATGGGAAGGAGAAAAACTAGATATTGTTGTATCTTTATGTTGTATGTTACAAAAGCTGGTGTGTATTGCTTAAAAATATTTTTTCTTAAGATTTGATGACTTTTGAAGTGTTTACCTCTTACTTTGATCACACATGCTCATTTATAGGACTGGTAGTCTATACAGGAGCAAGATAACATTGCTCTTCAGAGCTTCCTTTAAATACTGGAGTAGACAGATCTGATTTGAATTTGGGCTTCATCCTAGATTGAGAGACCTTAATTGAGTTAATTTACTTTATTTTTCTTCAACTGGGAATTACTGGGATTAAATGGTAAAGCAGTTAGTAGTGTGCCACACAATATTATATACTAAATAAATTATGGGACCTGGCACAGTGGCTCATGCCTGTAACCCAACACTTTGGGAGGCTGAGGTGTGAGGATCACTTGAGCCCAGGAGTTTGGGACCAGTCTAGGCAGCATAGTAAGACCCCCGTCTGTACAAAAATTTAAAAAATTAGCCAGGCATGGCGGTGCATGCCTGTAGTCCAGTTACTCGGGAGGCTGGGACAGGAGGATTGCGTGAGCCTAGGGGGTCAAGGTGCAAGGCGTGATAGTGCCACTGCACTTCAGCCTAGGCAACAGAGCGAGACTCTCTGTCTCAAGACCTAAAACTAAATACATAAATAAGTAAATTATGGCTGCTTTATGATTTTTTTCTTTTGAGGTACAGATTTTAGTTTTAATAGTGTGACATTTTTGAGGAGTTTGCTTGATCCTCAAATTGAAATATTAGTTATGCACTTCCTTTAAAAAGTAAGACAAAAGAAAGGGGAAATGGGGAGTTGGTTGTTGAATGGATGTAGTTTCCATTTTACAAGATGAAAACATTCTACAGATCCTGTTATACAACAGTGTGAATAATGTTAAAACCACTTGAACTGTACGCTTACCCAGAGTATAAATTTTTAATGTGTGTGTGTTTTTTTTTAAACACTCTTTTTATACAATTTTTTTTTTTTTTTTTGAAACAGAGTCTCACTCTGTTGGCTAGGCTGGAGTGCAGTGGCACAATCTCAGCTCACTGCAACCTCTGCCTCCCGGGTTCAAGTGAGTCTCCTGCCTCAGTCTCCTTAGTAGCCAGCCACCACGCCTGGCTAATTTTTGTATTTTTAGTAGAGATAGGGTTTCACTCTGTTGGTCAAGCTAGTGACCTCGTGATCTGCCCGCCTCAGCCTCCCAAAGTACTGGGATTACAGGAGTGAGCCATTGCACCCTGCTTATACAAATATTTTTAAAAGAGGAAGACCGAAGATCCTACCTTTCCAGCTAAGCTACAGTATTATCCATTACATGATATAGAGCAAATTACTATAGCTCTTGATGTCACCTAGACTCCCCTTTTAAAACTGACAGGTTCTGAGTAGGTGGAGGTGAAGAGATTGTTGCTTGTCCCTTTCTATTTTAAGCAGTGCATGGGAATGGAAAATAGGTGATCTTAGCAGCTTTAGTAGTGGAAACCAGAAATGGGAACTTGGCTCTTTGCACTTATTGATGCTACCTGGGGAAGAATTTTATTTATCTTTTTTTTTTTTTAAAGTTTGGCAGTTTCTATTATGCATTATTTTCTTTTAAAATGATAATAATATGGTTTCTACTTAAGTCATTTAAAAACAATAGTTTTCTCTCCAGTGTAGGCTACATAAGAAAGACTTTTCATTCTGGTAGAGTGTTTTATCTGAGCCTTATATTGCCTAATGAATGCCAGAATTCTTACTTGGTTTTCTTTTCTTTTCAGTCAGTACTGCTCCCCAACCTAAACCAGTAAGTATAAGGTGTTTCTATATTTAATTTTGATCTATGGGCTGTGGGTGTGGTTCTTCTGTTGTGAATGGTAACAGTTTGTTTCAAGTTGGGGAACCAAAGGGAAAAAAATTCCTGCGCTTCTGTAATTTTCTCCAGTAAATTCCCATGCACCTTCATCAAGTTTGTACTGGTGAGGCCTCTAAAAATTTTGAGTTTGTCTGAGTGTAAACCAGCCCCATAGACTGCTCAGAAGACCACACTTTGTTATGTATTTGATTTTATTTGAGTTTATAAGAGTATCCCACATCTTTTAATTTAATGAAAGACTCAAGTGCTATGTTAGGGAAAGATTTGTGAAATTTAATTAGGAAGTAATTAAAGTTAACAGGTATCTCTAACTGGGGGTAATTAATTAGCCACCTGAAGGCTTCATCTGTTTGTAATCTCCGCCCAGGCTGACAAAATGTCAAAGAATAAGAAGAAGAAACTGAAGAAGAAGCAGAAGCGCCAGGCAGAATTACTAGAGAAGCGAATGCAGGAAATTGAGGAAATGGAGAAAGAGTCGGGCCCTGGGCAAAAAAGACCAAACAAGCAAGAAGAATCAGAGAGTCCTGTTGAAAGACCCTTGAAAGAGAACCCACCTAATAAAATGACCCAAGAAAAACTTGGTATAAATAGAACATCACAAAAATTACAACACACTTTTAACATTAATTTATCATTGTTACATAATACATTGTTTCATACGTACAACACTTATCTCTGGGGGTACCTTTATAAGAATATGGATCTTGTCATGTTAGGCAGGTAATATTTAAATGTAATTTGTAACTTTTCTCAGGAAATGGAACATAGATTTCATTTAACAATTGGGTAAAAATAAGATCGTGGCCCTTCCAGAAATAGGTTTTAGATATTTAGTCTTGTTATTTTGTCACTCACTATAAGTTCTAGAAAATGTTTTAATATTGTGATAAATGTTTCTGTTCTTTCACTCACACACATACACATACATGTTTTTTTGTTCATTTGTTCCTTAGAAGAGTCAAATACCATTGGCCAGGATCAAACACTTATGGAACGTGATACAGAGGGTGGTGCAGCAGAAATTAATTGCAATGGAGTAATTGAAGTCATTAATTATACTCAGAACAGTAATAATGAAACATTGAGACATAAAGAGGATCTACATAATGCTAATGACTGTGATGCAGAAAAGTTGAAGCAGGAACCTAGTTTCCTAAGCTCCCAAAATGGAGACAGCAGCACATCTCAAGAAACAGACTCTTGTACACCTATAACTTCCGAGGTGTCGGATACCATGGTGTGCCAGTCTTCCTCAACTATAGATCAGTCATTCAGTGAACAACATATTAGCCAACTTCAAGAAAGCATTCGGGCAGAGATACCCTGTGAAGATGAACAAGAGCAAGAACATAATGGACCACTGGACAACAAAGGTACCTATGCAGCTATACTTCCTCAACACTCCTTCCCTGTACAACATATTCATATATCTCTAGACTAAAAGTATTGTTTTTGTAACTATAGCTTTACAACAGGTGTCTAAGTTACCTTTAAATTTTAATCTGTAGCTAACTTTGAAGTTTATTCATCATGTACTGGGTACATAGCATTTCATTTGTTGCTATGAGGGCAGAGGTTTTTAATTGTAGAAACTCAAGGTGTTACTGTGCTCTTTTTGTCTTAGACAATGTATTGTAAGTTGTCATTTGGGTATTACTGACTGTATTACTTTTACCTTGAAGAGCTTTATTACTTACTGAGTATTTCTCTGTTCATTGAACAGTCTTATTGATGATGCCTGTTGTCTGTAGGAAAATCCGCGGCTGGAAATTTTCTTGTTAATCCCCTTGAGCCAAAAAATGCAGAAAAGCTCAAGGTGAAGATTGCTGATCTTGGAAATGCTTGTTGGGTGGTAAGTTAAACTTGTCTCAATGCTATTTTGAAGTGACTGGGAGAATGAATGAGAATTTGGACTTAGTTATGCAAAAGTAAAACATCTATAATTCTATACCCAGATTGACACAACAGTTTAGTGAATATTTTTTCACATTTTAAAAAACCTTTTATTATGGAAAAGTTTATACTTACAAAAGTAGAAAGAATGGTAATCGTGATAATGAAACAGTCCTTCTGTCACCTTATCCCACTTTGGGTGCCCATCACCCAGATTCAGTAATGTCAATTCCTAGCCAATCTTGTTTTATCTATATATATCCTTATTAACTTTCAGACATTCAGTGCCTATGTTCATATCCCCTATTCCCATTTTCAAAATTGATGACTAACTTATAAATTGTAACCTTTTAATTCATGTAACATATTTTGGACACTTTTCTTTGTCAACCGAGAAATTAAATACAATTCAGTTCATTACATAGTTTCCCTAGTACACTTTAAACTACATATTTTTGACAGCTCTGTGTGATGAGACTCTTTGCACATAAATCTTTTGTAGTTTTCCTTAAGACATGTCCTAGGCATAGAATTGCTAAGTCAGAAGTTTGTGATTTTTAAAACAGCTTTATGATGTATAATGTTGTTTAACTTTTAATTATTCATAATAACATATAATTACAAATATGTTTTGATGTATAGTGTCACTCTCCAGAAAAGGTAACGTCAGTTATTCTACCTTTAACAACTCAGAAAAGTATTTTCCTCTATGATCTTCAGGCTAACTAGTGGAATCTCATTTTATTTGGCAAATTATTTATACTATTTTTATTTTTTTATTATGTATCTAATAAAAAAGGGTTTTAAGTTTTTTTTTTTTTTTCTTTTTTGAGACTGTTGCCCAGGCTGGAGTGCAGTGGCAGGATCTTGGCTCACCGCAACCTCCTCCTCCTGGGGTTAAGCAATTCTCCTCCATTAACCTCCCGAGTAGCTGTGATTACAGGCATGCAGCACCATGTCCTGCTAATTTTGTATTTTTTGTAGAGATGGGTGATTCTTCATGTTAGTCAGGCTGGTTTCAAACTCCCGACCTTAGGTGATCCACCCACCTCGGCCTCCCAAAGTTCTAAGATTACAGGTGTGAGCTACCTTGCCCAGCCATAGTAAGGTTATTTTGTTTGTTTGAAATGGAGTCTTGCTCTGTCACCCAGGCTGGAGTGCAGTGGCGCAATCTCAGCTCACTGCAACCTCTGCCTCCCAGGTTCAAATGATTCTCCTGCCTCAGCCTCCCGAGTAGCTGGGATTGCAGGCGTTTGCCATCATGCCCTGGATAATTTTTATATTTTTAGTAGAGGCAGCGTTTCGCCATGTTGGCCAGGCCAATCTCAAACTCCTGAACTCAAGTAATCTGCCCACCGCGGCCTCCCAAAGTGTTGGGATTATAGGCGTGAGCCATCGGGCCTGGCCAAGGTTATTTTTAATGGACATCTTTTTAAAATCTGTAATAGAATGATTCACACTTACATGACGCTACTCAAAGAGCCGTACACTTTGTAAATGGGACATGGTTCAGACCTCAGAAGGATCTCATTTCCCATATTGATTCTAGAATATTGTGATAACCTTTTAGAAAAAATACAATCAGCTTAGCACTGACTTTTAGGAATGTGGAGCAGCTTTCCAAGTAATTAGTTACTCCACTATGCTATCACCTGGTCCAGGTCACCCTGGATGATCTCAGTAGTGACTGCAATAGCTTCTTCACTTTCTCCCTTCTGCTGCTCTTGCTCCCCATGGACTATTGGCAACACGTCTATCAGAGTAATACTTTTATTTTTCAATTTGTGTATATTCATGAGGTGTAAGTGCAGTTTTGCTAGGTTGATAAATTGCATTGTGGTGAAGTCAGGGCCTTCAGTGTATCCGTCACTGGAGCAGTGCACATTATAACCACCAAGCAGCCTCCCTTCATCTACCCTTCTACTCTCCCCCTCTGAGTCTTCATTCCACGCTATGCTTCCATTTGTACACATTATGTAGCTCCCACTTACAAGTGAGAACATGTGGCATTTATCTGTTTGTTTCAATTAAGATAATGGCATCCAGTTCCATCCATGTTGCTGCAAAACACGTGTTTTCATTCTTTTTTATGGCTGAATAGTACTCATTGTGTACCATTCCATGCCACATTTTCTTTCCTTTTTTTATTTTAATAAGATGGGGTTTCACCATGATGGCCAGGCTGGTCTTGAACTCCTGACCTCAGGTGATTCACCCACCTCAGCTTCCCAAAGTGCTAGGATTACAGGCGTGAGCCACCACGCCCAGCCCATTTTCTTTATTCCTAATTTAGCTTAATTCCATAGTTGTTACTCTGAGTAGTGCTGTGATAAACATAAAAGTACAGGTATCTTTTTGATATGATTTCTTTTCCTTTGGGCAGATACCCAGCAGTGGAACTGCTAGATCATTTGGTAGTTTTAGTTCTTTGAGAAATTTTCGTACTATTTTCTATAGAGATTGTGCTGATTTTCCTTCCCACCAAGAGTAATTCCCTTTTCTCCCTATTCTCTCCAACATGTTATTTTTTTTTTTTTTTTTTATTTTTAATAATAGCCATTCTGATTGGTGAAAGATATTGTGATTTTTGTTGTTGTTGTCATTGAGATGGAGTTTCACTCTTGTTGACCAGGCAGGAGTATAGTGGCACCGTCTTGGCTCACCGCAACCTCTGCCTCCTGGGTTCAAGCAATAATCCTGCCTCAGCCTCTCGAGTGGCTGGGATTACAGGCATGTGCCACCACACTTGGCTCATTTTGTATTTTTAGTAGAGACAGGTTTTCTCCATGTTGGTCAGGCTGGTCTTGAACCCCCGACCTCAGGTGATCCGCTCACCTCAGCCTCCCAAAGTGCTGGGATTACAGGTGTGAGCTACCATGCCCACCCTCATTGTGTTTTAATTTGCATTTCTCTGCTGATAGTGATAGTGAACATTTTTTCATATGTTTGTTGGCCATTTGTCTTCTTTTGAAAAATGTCTATTCATGTCCTTAGCCCACTTTTTAATGGGATTATTTGGGTTTTTGTTGTTGTTGTTTGAGTTTCTTATTAATTCTGGATGTTAGTCCCCTGTTGGTTATATAGTTTGCAGATATTTTCTCCCATTCTGCAGGCTATTGACTCTTGATTATTTCTTTTGCTGTGCAGAAGCTTTTTCGTTTAACTCCCATTTGTCTATTTTATTTTTGTTGCCTTTGCTTTTGAGGCCTTAGTCATGAGTTTCAGGTCTTATATTCAAGTCTTTAACCGTCTTGGGTTGATTTTTGTGTATGATGAGAGATAGGGATCCAGTTTTATTCCTCTACATGTGCCAGTCCAGTTTTCCTAGAACCATTTATTGAAAAGGATGTCTTTTCCCTAGTGAATGTGCTTGTTGGCTTTTCAAAAATCAGTTTGCTGTTAAGTATATGGCTTTATATCTAGGTTCTCTATTCTGTTCCATTGATCTGTGTATCTATTTTAATACTAATACCATGCTGTTTTGATTGCTATACCTTGTATAATTTTAAGTCAGACAGTATAATGCCTCTAGCTTTGTTCTTTTTGCTTAGGATACCTTTGGCTATTTAGGCTCTTTTTTTTTTTGAGTTGGGAGTCTTGTGTTGTAGCCCAGGCTGGAGTGCAGTGGTGTGATCTCGGCTTACTGCAACCTCCACTTCCCAGGTCCCAGTTCAAGCAATTCTCCTACCTCAGCCTCCCAAGTAGCTGGGATTACAGGCACAAGCCACCATCCCCAGCTAATTTTTGTATTTTTTAGTAGAGATGGGGTTTCACCATGTTGGCCAGTCTGGTCTGGAACTCTTGACCTCATGATCTGCCCGCCTCGGCCTCCCAAAGTGTTGGGATTATAGGGTGAGCCACCTAGCCCAGCCTATTTAGGTTCCTTTTTTTTTTCCATATGAACTTTAGAATTGTTTTTTCTAATTCTGTGAAAAAATGACATTGGTATTTTCAAAAGAATTGCATTGAACCTGTAGATCGCTTTGGGTAGTATGGTTTTTTTTTAATTTTTTTTTTTTTTTAATTTTTAATGGATTCATAATAGGTATATATATTTGTGGGGTATCTGAGATATTTTGACACAGGCATGCAATGTGAAATAATCACATCATAGCGAATGGGGTACCCATCCCCTCAAGCATTTATCCTTTATTTTGCAAACAGCCTGATTATACTTATTTTTAAATATATGCTTAGTTATTTTTAAATATATAATTATTGACTACAGTCACTCTGTTGTGCTATTAAAGAGTAGATCTTATTATTTGTAAGTAATTTATTTATACCCATTAATCATCCTTACATCCCCCTTCTCCCACACTATTCTTCCCAGCCTCTGGTAACCATCCTTCTACTCTCTGTCTTTGAGTTCTATTGTTTTGATCTTTAGCTCCCACAAGTAAGTGAGAACATGTGAAATTTGTCTTTCTGTGCCTGGCTTATTTTGCTTAACATAATGATCTCCATTTCCATCCTTGTTGTTGTAAATGATAGGATCTCATTCTTTTTATGGCTGAATAGTACTTCATTGTGTATATGTACCACATTTTCTATGTCCGTCTGTTCATAAGCACTTAGGTTGCTTTCATGGTAGCTTTAATTTGCCTTTGTCTGATGATCAGCGATGTTGAGCACATTTTCATATACCTCTTTGCCATTTGCATGTCTTCTTTTGAGAAATGTCTAGTCAAATGTTTGGCCCATTTTTTGATGAGATTATTAGATTTTTTTTCCTACAGAGTTGTTTGAGCTACTTATGTATTCTAGTTATTAGTCTCCTGTCATATGGGTAATTTGCAAATATTTTCTCCCATTCTCTGGGTTGTCTCTTCACTTTGTTAGCTGTATTCTTTTTTTTTTTTTTTTTTTTTTTTTTTTTGAGACGGAGTTTCTTTATTGTTACCCAGGCTGGAGTGCAATGGCGCGATCTTGGCTCACGGAAACCTCCTGAATTCCCTG